TCCACTGGATCATCCTGTTTTTCCCACGGCGATAGAGTTTCCTCTGATGGTGGCGGTGGAACTTCGGTTATAGTATTTGGATCGATAGTGTCACCGTAGCTAACGTAGAAGAATTCACATTTACATCGTGATACTATGCGCTGCAGCTGAACAGGTTGAGTTTCGCCCGGATTTTCATTGGACAAGGCGCCCACCGTCTCCGATACGACACCTCCCACACTACGACCACTGCCCACAAGATGCGGAATGTCGGGCAAATCATTTATAACAGTATCGTCTTTATCCTGAAATTTATTATTACTAAGTAATTAATAACTGATTACCACACCTAGCATACAATCGGACATACTGCATAGCGCGCTGACAATTATTAATGTTATGGTTGGTATCTGTAAATCTGTCAGTTACACTTACCGAACCATTTAAGCCCAACATGTAATAATAGACATAGAACGTTGTGCAGTATAACTGGCAAGATATACAGATGCGTGCAACTAATTAGCAACGAAATTCAAAACGATATTACTAGCAAATTATGTTTATTTATTTATTTTTAATAATTTTCATTTAAAATATAATTCAATCTATATCAGAAACCACAATAACAAAAGTTGCAAAGCTTGCACAAATTGCAAAAAAATTTATCAAACTTAAAAAAATCGTCATCAAAATTTCAAAATTTTTAATTAGAATATTTAGAAAATTTTCGGGTATGCAGTTTTGTAGACCATTCAGTATAATAAAGTGCAAGTTTCAAGTTGCTAAAAATTGCCGTTGATTTTTTAGAATTTTTTTTGTCGAGGGTGTTGCGGATTTTTTTCCATGTAAAAAAAATTGTATCATGTGTTATGTATCTAGATGCTCTTGGAATATATCTGCATAAAAAAAAAATCAAAAAAAAATTGCGCTTACGTTATTTTGGCGGTTAGTGCTCGATATTCTTACTTAATATTTCTTCACATTTATTTGAGAAATCTGATTTGAACCTTCTTGAACTTCTTGAAACAAAGCTCTAAATAGCATTGGTTTTAAGCACTTTACCTTTTAATAAAATGCAACAATATCGCTTTAAAAAAGCAATGTTTTCAAAAGGAGTAATGTCCGTAACGTAACGTCCGTACAATAGCTTTTTTTGTTATTTTATGGCCTTATAACAATACAATTATATTCAACCATTTTTATTGAGCTTGAGGCCGTTTTTAATGAAAAACTTATTGTGAAAAGCAACAACAAATTGAAAAAATTGTAGAAGTGATAGATATTTCGGAAATAACCACATTTCCTCATCAGACTTCTTTCAGTAGGATTCGAACCGACGACCCCTTTAACTCGGCCAGTTGCCTACGCACTGTGCTAAGCTCGCCTTGTGAATTCTTGTTGCTTTTTTCCACTATTTCATTTGTTAAGCCAACTACAATCAAGCTCAGCTATTCCGCTGCAATTCACACATGATCAAGTGATACATGTTTTGAGTTTTTCGAAGTTTTCAAGGCTTTTTCCAGTTTAAGGGAAACCTCTAAATAGTTTTAAAATTATATCCTAGGTTATTTGCCAGGTTTGATGAACAGCATGTATGTATATCATATTTAATTCCAATAAATAAATAAAGCTCATACAGCTCATAGTTCCACCGACTGCGGTAGTCGCCGTCACCAACGCGTAAACCCCCGTAAATCTTTCTCTCGCTTGCAAGCGTATCGTACAAAATCAGTTTTCGTATTATCGTTTTCATACGCCCGACAGATATATTATTGGGAATGGCTGTGCTTTTTGTTCACGCCCAATAGGGATTAACAGAATGCAAGTGTTTATCGTGCACCGTATGTATTTAAAATAGGGGGGTTAGAATATGGTTTTCGTACGTCGACGTCATCGGCATACGCCAGCAATTGCGTGCTCTTTTAGTAAACTGTTCCTGAGCGGTTCAGTTCTGCGGCTCTGATTATCTTTTCCAACCTCAGATTACAGAAATCACATGAAAGTCACCTTGGCTGAAACCCCGCTTAGAAGCAAACGAGTCGGATAGGTATTTCCCAATTCTAACGGAGCGACGGAGCTGGTGGTATTGTTCAACGTCATCATAAACAGCCGCATCAGTTTAGTATAGGCAACTCCTTAGCAGCTTTGAACTCGAAAAATATATGGTGAGTGTCGCGAGTTTTCTCGCGGGTCTTTTCCAATATTTTGCGTAAGCTGAATACCTGGTCCATTGTGGATTTACCAGGTCTAAAGTCACACTGATAAGATCCAATCAGTTCTTTGACAGTGGGCTTGAGTCTTTCAAATGCGCTCGACAAGACCTGGTAACCTATGCTTAGAATGCTGATCCCATGGTAGTTGGCGCATATGGCGGGGTTGCCTTTCTTGTGGATTGAGCAGAACACACTTAAATTTCAGGCGCCGTACTTGAATGGCTAAGCTGTTGTGTTGTGTTGTGTTGTGTTGTGTTGTGTTGTG